AACAAAATTCGAATCTCGTGGAGGTCATGTGGATATTGTATTTGTACGCTTCGAGAACAGACGAGTTCATCGATTCTCACACAAACGGAGGTGGCGGTCTCGACAATAAGATAACGCTAGCCGGTCACGATACCGTGGTAAATGTGCTCGAGGAGTTCGCCGAGTCCTACCAATGTAAGGTGTTCGACCAAGAAACCGGGCGACCCCGAGATGTGAAGTACGTGGACAAGATCAAAGAAGTCGCGCAGGGACGAACGACGGGTATTCCATTGACCGTAGCGTACAACAAGGAACGGTTTTCGAATCAGCGAAAAAGTAATAAAATTCTTGCCGAAGGAATGGAGCGTTTCCAACTCCAACATTTGCGGCTGAGCCCACTGATGAAAGATAGACACACGGTTGACGAGCTAATAGACACATTTAGTGTTCACGTCGACAGCAATCCCACGGTGGAACGTTTATCGAAACTCTACCGGCAAACCTACAATGCAAACGTGCCGTTACATGAATATATCAACTCCTTCACAACGCTACAGAGCGAACTCATCACCGTGCTAAAGGCGATCGCCCTGAGAATCGTCATTGTATACTTGAACTGTATGAAAACAAATTTAACACCGTGCTCGTTGGATCAACGAGCAAGTTTTCTGTACGACTTTTGCGAAGAAGACAAAAGCAGAATGAGCGCTTTTCTTACGGACTTCGCCACGTGTATTGGTCGGGTCACTGATTTTCATCTAAACCGCACAACGGCGTTACTGAATGAATGTTCCTGTAGGTTTTCTCTGTTGCCTCTTATCGATCGTCGGTCTAGTATTGTACTCAGTTTATTAAAAAGCATGACATCTGGTCATAGTACCACCTTTGGTGCATTTGCCAATCCGTTGTCGGAGAACGATTACGGCGAAACGTGGATGGCCAATGTTAAAGAAATTGCCAAAAAGTATTTTATTATTTATTCAGAAGATATGAAGGATTCGGTGGACAAAATTATAATAGTCGCTGATATATATTTAGATTATATCAAAAAAGTAACTGAAGGCTTTGACTTTGGAGTAATAAACTCGTTAATCCGTCTCAAAGAGTCCGAACATTATAAACGTTTAGTTGAACGAGAAACAGAATCTGATTATGGTATGCGAATGTTCAATAAATAATTTAACTATAAAATATGATTTTTTTTTCTAAATAAAGAAAACACAACTACATCATAATAACAACGTATTTTGTTTTCACTCACTATACTCAGATTGCCCTGAATTTCGGATCAATTCTGATAGTTTATTAGCCAGTCTAGTGAAACTAGTTACAGACGATATTTAAGCGGGACGCACATTGTTTAAGGAATTTAAAATTGTTTTGTTGGATTTAAACTAATGTATTTATAATAATATTTTAAAAGAAAGTATTAAACACATTTTGGTTCCGGCACAACTAGCTTTCAATATGGTTACCAGAAAACTGCCACTTTTACGTTCTCCTATTAAAAGTTTGAGATTAAATTTAAACGAGTTGAATGTTGCACGTGTAGACTTTTCCGGAAGTACTTATGAATAATTTGTTCGTTGTTATTATCATAACCGACAATAAATAAAAATTGTCTAATGGTAAGACCGTATTCTTGATTAAAAACCCATAGCAACGAGGAAAATATTTTTTAGAACGTTCTATAATGACGGAATGGGCACAATCTAGGCAAATCTAGAAACAGATGTACATAATGAAAATATTACTGTGTTAATATAGTGTATGTATCACAATCAATGAGTGTAATTAGTTAATTTTTTCTCTTTGTGTTTAAAATTTACTAAATAACTAAAAGAATATATTCGTTTAGGGATTGAAAACACATAATGTTTTTTTTTTATTGCTTTATTACTAAATTTTACTTATTGTTAGTGTTACTAAAAACTTTTTTCCTTAGGTAATATTTAGTTTCTTAAGAAGTAGTATAATATTAAATAATCACAAACACTGGTAAAACATCATTTCATTTGTATACAATATATTATTGTAAACAGTCAAACTTCATAAAATATGTAGGTATACATGTTTAAAACCATAATAAATAATACATTACGTTTGTATTTGATTCTTCAAAGATTATTGTAATAAAATATTAATACTCCTTTTTTCTCTTATTCCTAAGCGGTATTAACTTTATCTTTATTTCGTCTTTAGGGATAAAGTTATTTAGATCATATTATTTTTTATTATCGTCATGATAAAAACAACACATATTTAATGAAATAGTTGCAAGCATTTTTTGTTTTATAGTTTAACCAAATTATAATAGGATTTTCTCTAAACGGATTGGAGAATTTTCCCTATGTTTCCCTCAAATATTAATTAACATACTTACATATTTTGTAAAAATTAAAAACATTTTATACTAGAATTTGAGTAGAACACCTATTGATCCGATCTTCGATTACGGATTAGATGTACTGATATAAAACAGATACAATACGTAATATACACGCTTAAAACTAAACTATAACTGAACTATAATTGTACGGTAACTGTTACAGTAAACTATTATCAGGTTTATTTGGTTAAATGTATTTTAAAACATGCGCAATTGTAAATTAACTAAATTCTATAAGAAAGTAAGAAGGAAACCTACTTCCCTAGGATGGCAGCTCTTGTCTCTTGTAGCTAGAATTTACGAAATAAAATAAAATAATATTTTAGACTAGCTATACTTAGAAGTAATTAGGGCTTTCGGGAGATAGCAGTTTTAGCACTGGCTTTAATTCTTAAGGAACAGTTTTTGAACACCGTTTTGATCAGTAGTAACATGTAGTTCTTCAATAAAATATTATTAAGCTAACCCCTCCTATAGAAAAATGCTTTTTGAATTTTTCGAGGTTTCATTGTGTATGGATAGTAACACACAATGTAAGAACACAAAACTGATACGATAATATTATTTTTTACTGAGTTGTTTTTTTTATTCCTACTCGTATGGTTGTACTGCTGTATTTGTTTAATTTGTATACTATTGCCGTTTTGATCAGTTGGCTCATAAATCCTAAATAATAGTATTATATTTTTTTATACGTTGTTACACGAAGAAGAAGTAGCAAGTAATTCAACAACAAAACATAAAATATGCAATTATTTCTGTCTATTACTAATCAATATCAGTAAATTATTTTAGTAAAAACCCAAAACCTAAATTTACATTTTTTTAAGTTGTTGCAATATGTAATGGTTTGTAGGACAACTAGGATATGTAATAACATAATTTGTAAAAATAAATGTATTTCAACATATTATGGCAGAAAATTAAACATTGTGACCACATAATTATTTCAAAAACAATTCTTAAATGTTATAATTTTAATGACTATACATGAGTTTTAACCTAAAAAAAACTATTAATAAAATACGATTATTTGCGAATTCTTACGTGGAATTTCTAACTGTCAGTTTCCAATTCTTTCAGACGTTTGTAATGGTTGGACTCTTTGAGACTTATCAACGAGTTGATCACACCGAAATCGAGGCTTCTAGTAATTTTCTGGATGAACTCCACATATATATCAACGATCATTTGTATGACAGTGGGCAAAAACAAGTAATCTAAACGGTCTAATTATTTAAAATCATCATTGACCTCTCTTATAATGCTAGCTAACCATTTTCTTGCAAAATTTTTATACAACCTTATTTTGTCGGTAAATGGAGTTAAATCGCTATTAACAGAAGCCATGTTTTTTAAAGCATGCATTTTACTGTTTATGTAAGATTTAATTCTATACTCATTTTTTTCCTTCATTGTTGTGATTGCAATATTTATGTCTACATCATCGGGCTGACCTATCTGAATGGCGAATTCTTTCAGACCATTAATTATATTACGATTGTGCAAATTCGATCTATTGCGATGCAAAATAGGTATCGATAAAACTGGGAGCTGTCCCATTACTTGTTTTTTATACAAAAAATATACAACGATAATTCTCATGACGATTGCTTTCAGTACGCTTCTGAAATCACGTTGTAATGTTATGAGGTACTCTATATATTTACACAATGGCACGTTAAGAGAGTTGGTTTGCTTAAAACGTTGTTCTAATATTTCCGAAACTTTAGATTTTTCGGATATAGCCCAAAACATCATCAATTGAACCATCCAAACTTCTGTTTTAAACAGGTGACACAACCGTAATCGCTTGAGTTCAAAGCGCTCAATACCCGAGTCGGAATTCTTCTTAATTTTTCCGACTCCCGACAATTCGACCCCTTCCAATTCGTCTGGTTCTGTATCGTACACCTGACACTCGTTGGACTTGGTGAACTCTTCGAGTACCCTTTTGACGGCATTTTGAGTGGAAATCATAACATCTAAGCTGTAAGGTTCGTTACCTTTCCGGTAGTTCTGGAGAAACTTTTCTGCCTTTAAACTATACATATAAAATATCCATATGACTTCCGTGGGACATTTCCAACTTATGTTTTTTCTATTGTACGCGTCATCGACCATGGATTGCGCTTCTTTCGTAAACGTTATACAGCTTATTTCACGCGCTGACAGTTTGCTCAACTTCTTCGGCTCCGACAAATACGTCTTGATTAAATTTATATGCACTAGAGCTCTAAGTACTAACAAAATTGTTGTAGTTGTAATAATTATTACAACTGATAAGCAACATAATTGACGCTGATAACAATGCAAGATAACATAAACTATGAGATAACTATGTCTTAAAACCGTCACATATTAATAATTATGAACAACTTTTCAACGGGAGCTATGCTGTTTCTGGATTTCACAACTTTAAAAAAAAACAACTAGCATTAAATGGAGAACAATTCTGAGAATGACTTTTGTCCGCCTAAATCAGCTATTTTGCCCAGTGTGCGCCGATTTGATCAGTTGGCTCATAAATCCTAAATAATAGTTTTTGTTTATACATTGTCACAGTAGTACATAATTCCACCTTGAAACAGTTAAAAATCAATTAATCTACTCTTTTCTATAGAAAAACGGTTTTCAAATCTTCTTTTGTGGTTTCATTGTGTAATGATAGTCCTGTCGATAAAATACTTACCAGGATCACTTTCAATTTTCAAGTTTTATCCTGCTTATGTTACAAAGTCTGCAAAAAACACAGTTTTCGGGCAATTAAAAAAAAACAACTGTGGTTCCAATTTTTTTCCCCGTTCAACATGTTATGGATACATATGAATTTTAGGTCCTGACAAATTTTTAGGTAAAAAGCTCTACAATAACGGCTAAAAACACAAAAAACAAAAAATTTTCACCCCCGTTGGGCGTGAGAAATATGTATAATTTAAACATAAAAAATAACAATTTTCATCAGGCATATAAAGTATATTTAGAAGGAAAAGAAAGTTCGTTGATAACAATATGTATTTGTTGTTTACATATTATCAATATATTATGATGAAATATAAATATAATTAATTGATATTTGTAATAAATAAAATTTAATTTTACACGGCGTTTCGCGAGCAGTTCAAAAAGATGCGTGTCATAACAAATTATCATGTAAAAAGATATAAATAAAAAATATAAAACGTACAATAATTGCGAATTCGACTCGAAGCTAAATTTTCTTTATAAAGTTGAAACAACAGTGTTTAATGATCATACCAATGGTATAGTATAAAATGTAATTAGCCTAAACGTTGTTTTTGTATCGAACTTATATAAATGGAATTACAACAAGAATACAAATTTTACTATTACTATCAGGAACTTTAAAAAAAAAATCTCAATTACACATAATATAGGTTGCTACGAGTAAAAATATTAAACCTGTAAAATAAAAGATATTGGTACGACGGAATCTTCCACGCTGTCTCTGGACAAACTGTGATCGAATGAGACCAAGTTGGCAGGTAATCCAAACAACTTACAAATTTACCGATTGCGATTTCCGCTTTGATTCGTTGATGTACGATATCCAGTAGACGATGGAGAACGCCACGAAGCACAACGGAAACAGAGCCAATGACACTTGGTCCAGCATACCTCTTTGCGAACCACAATATAAGATGACGTGTCTGGTAAGCAATTGGAATCGCAGTTTGCCCCGCCCGATGACGGTAACCGACGTTTGTTGAGCTTTTGACGCAGTTGTCTGAAAAACCACATTACACAATAGTGATGCCGACGTCTAGTAATCAGTGTTTTCCTTTGGATTTTTTACATTACAAAAGAATAATACGAAATTCTGTAAGATAAAATAGCGTTTTTACAGTTTGCGAATATGTTTAAATGATTTAAAAAAAAAGCAAAGATTTAACAACCATTTTTTTAAAGTTTTCCAAAATAAAAGTGCAACGAAAAACAAGACAAAATAATTATTTATCCATCAAAAATCGTAAAATATCCATTTTTAATTTAGATAATTAACTAAAATGCTATGCTAGTATTTAAAATGAAAATGCCATTGTTTTTTTGAAATTGTCTACGACTATTACTCGGCATAACAGAGAGAGGCCGTGGGGAGGAGGGTCGCACCCTAAACAAGTATTTAGTTTCGTGTTGGAAATCCGTGTGGATGGTATCAGTGTTTTACCACCGCTGGAAGGGAAGTTTATAAATACATGCTTTAAAGTTCATGAAGTCTGTATAGTTGAATATTCATGATTGCGCATTCCGTGTTGCCGGTGGGTTGGAAGAAATTATTTTTCAAAATCGGTGAAATATAAGAATCTAAAATTGTAGAAAACGTTATAGCACGATAATAGTTTTCTGAATGCAGTACCGAAGTTGTATTGTTGTCCAGCGCGATGTCCGACGCTTGGTGCACTTTATTGTTGCTGAACAAGGCGCTGGTTCTGCTGTCGTTGCCCTGGCCGGCCCCAGCTGGTACAGTCGTCATCTTCGTTGGTTCTAAGTCGACATGTTTGTGTCTCCAATGTTTGTCGTACCGCATGCCAAACAGCACGATAAAGTACTCGACAAGGGCCAGGAACACGAACAGGGTGCACGAGATCAACCACACTTCGATGCATTTGAGCTCTAGAGCACTAGGAGAGTTGTTTCTGAAAAGACCAAAACCCTTTTGGGATTATGTCACAATCACACGACGACATTCCAGACCTACTAATAGGTAAGAGAGGGGTAAAATAGCGGGCAAGCGCTGATTTACTGGATTTTTGGGTAATAAAAACCAAACATTTAGTCCGATCTGATTTTCACTTGGCATCTGCAACGCGTAGGTAGATAATTTCAATCTAGTGTTTAGCTATAATTAGATACTATTTGACATAATATTCAATCGAAAGCAATTACTAAAATATTTCAAAAGAGTGGACACGGAATCGGCTGTTTCTAGTTATTGTTCTAGTATTTTTACATTAAAAAAAACTATAGAACAACTAACTTTTGAAATTGGGTCCACTTGAGGTACGAGAAAGTATGGCGTATGCTAAAAACCATAACAAATCGTTGATTTCATTTTTTTAAACAAAATATATGTAATAGGGTTTAACACAAACGCTAAGTGTAGCATTTATTATAGTAAAATATATTAGATAGTTCAACTGTTTGTAATTATTCAGATATTAGATTACAGGACAATCAATTTAACGTAACATACTCATTTTCCGGAAAAATAATTATAATTTTACAGGTTTTCATTTTAAACCATTTTTATTTAACTATTGCATAAAATTACTAAATTATTTACCTTTATTAGTATTTCCCAGCATTATCAACTTTTGAAACTTAATTTTTTCGATTTAAATATAATACAATTAGACTGAAAGTAGGCCTTTTTTTGTGTTTTTTTACTAAAAGCCAAAAATAACTGAATAATCATACCGCTAGGATAAAATTTCCGTTCCGGAAAACGGATAAATTTTTTTTAGCGAATCATCAGTCAACTGGTACTAGAAATAAAATGCATTATATTGTTATTGATGAATAAAAGTAATTGTTTGTATAAGGTCTCAATAAAAAAACAGTTATAGGTGTTTGTCAGAAGTTCACTTTGCCCTTCAGTCTAATTTTCAGACCACAAAAATCCAACGATTGCGCAAAAAAAAAAAAAGTTTTCATACCTTCTGGATAAAATGGTTAATGATATTTCCTAACTTTTTGACCGTGTCAGTAGTGGTATATTCATACAAATATTAAGTTTTTAGTATTATAAAGTGTCTTCACCGATTGTGATTTCGGATTTAAAGACTAATATTTGAAAACTCAGAGTATATTATATAGGTACAAATATAATAAATTGAGCAAAATATAATATTATTAATATAAAAGAATAAAAATCACATTGTATTAAAAACATTGCTTTTCTTGGTTCCACGTGGTTCACATGAATCCCTTTTTAAAATCCATTGAATGATTATTTTTCATGTTATGATGGATTTCCATCAGTATATACATCCAATGCCATCTAGTGAGCTTCAAACGAGTTGATAATTTAAATTTATAATAGTTTTGAAATTGCATTATTTTGGTAGATCGCGCTAAGTTTGTAAAATATCACATATTCAATATATACAATAATTATATATGACAAATAATTATAGATAATATTTTTATAGTTGTTAAATTAATTTTTGCGTTCATATAAATTGTAAATTGTTTTGTATTTTGTTCATACACATTTTTTTTTTGCATTGTGTTTTATTAATATTTGTTTTGTACTGATGTTTGTGTGTTTTTTTTAAGCATCAAATTTTTAAGTAAATGTGCATGTAAAAGCGTCAAGACCATGGCCAGCCCCGTACTATTAGTTTTATATATATATATATATTGATTAACGTTAGATTAACCCATATTTTGTTGAATTTTATTGCCGACTGTCATGAACAAAGTAGTATACCTACCATAATTATTATAACCCATAGTACGCTATTACACTTTTGGTGCAAAACTGCCGTTACCGTGTTGAATTTTGACTAAAAAAATATAAAAATAATTAGTTGAGTAGGTGTAGTTGATAAGAAAAAGGTCAAACTTTTTATTTATTTTTTTTTTTAAATCAGGGTCTAAGCAAATATGTTGAATAATAATATTGAAATCGTCTTGTTACTTCATACTACTCGCCACTGGAGTCAGTTTTTTTTCTAACATACATGTAAAAAAAATGGACCATGTCGTATGGAGGAAATGACCTTGCCAGTAGACTAGGCATTATTTAATATAACTATTGTGGATAATCTGTATAATATTAACGCAGAGCATGTCCTCATTTTGTGTTATTGCGCTCTCACCCGGTACACATGTACAATAATGACGGATATTAATATTATAATATGTTCCAACGACGGGCACCTCTCATATGTATATCAAATAACATGAGATACGCGGGTTCAGTGGTAATAATAAAAAAATAATATAATAATACTTGCTCGACAGAAGGAGAAAATGTCTCTGCGCTAATGTGTATATTCATTTAATTTGAAATAATAATACTGTCGTTTGAAAGCAAACGGGCAGGTGAGTTAAATCACAGACTACCAACAACCAAGGGCTTTCCCTACAAAATTTATAATATAAAGTTTTGAACTCGAAAAATAAACCCTAAACGCATTCTCGGCAAACCATTATTTTTGAGTTATGTAGTTAAGCGTTTTTATGAAATGCCCAAATACATAATTTTCAACACACTGACTACTCGCACAAAACATTTATTTTTATTGTTAACTGATAGAATTTTTTTCTTAATCATAGGTTAGGATTAAGTTCCGACTTTAAAAAAATATATGTTTCCTATTAATTAACATGTAGAAGTATTGAAATCCTTGAACAATTGTACCCATAAATGCTAGCAGAACACAATTTTACTAAAATCACGAGTTCACATAGATAATTTCAAAATTTTACTTGTAATCAAACTAAGGAATCATGTTAATCATAAAAAAAAACATGTTTTTGATATTCAGTTTTTACGCAAAAACCTAAATTGTGTCCTCCCAACTTTGTCTAGTCCGTTGAGTTACTTTTCAAAAACACATCCAAAATATTGTTAAGTACGCTGTTTTGTGGTATTTTCAGTGTTCTGTATAGCCGAATAATATTCTAAAATGGGTGGTGAGATTTTGGAAAACGTTTTCGCTCTTCTTAAACGAACGTCTAATAAAAAATTATTTTGCCATGTAGATGTTTTGGATGTTACGGCACTTATGGGACACAATGTAAAATATTATACATTATAACTTGAAAATATTTTCTGCGCAGCGCAAACGTTCAACGAGTATAAACTTTATAACACTAATAAATCGCTTATGCGTCGTCCCATAATTGCTAAGTCGCATAAGCTGTAACAATAATAATAATAATAATAATAATCATAACATAGTAACTATTATTGTCGGGTATTGTGTCGTCGTTAAGTGTAATAAAAATCATGGTAACGACAGAACGCGCATGTATATATTTTATTTGAACGACATTTTCTGCATAAAGTATTTTTTGTCGACAACGACAAGTCGTAGAGTTTGTGTTTTTGTAAAGTGATAAAAAAATCACATAGTGAAACATTTTTATAAGAATGTCGCAACAAATTTGGAAATTTTAAACTGCGTTTGAGAAAATTCAAAGTGTAAACAAAAATATAAATAGTTAATTCAGTTTTTAAATCGTCGACTGCTTTATAAACTTTCTCCGTGAAGAAATCGATGCAGTTGTTTAGGAAATATCGTAGATCCAGACAAAAAATAAAAATAAAAAAAGTACATCACTGTAAATAAAATCTTTCTTAGCTCCGCATTGAAGCCATAAAATTGTATAATAGTAACACTGGCGCAACAATTTTCAAGTTACATTTTTCTAATAAAATCATCACAAGAATGTATTATTATTTGACCCGAACATTGAGCAGTCTGTGAGTAGAACGTTTGTACACTTCTAAAGTATGAGTTTATTCTTTTCTAAGAAAAACAGGACTTACTCTGTATCATTTAATCTCGAGTGGTATTTAAAGTTCAAAAGAAAACGCCAACAATAAAAATGGAAGAGAATAGCGTTTCCGAGAAAACATTACAATACAGCTTGTCAACTTATTGTCTTGAATTTTTATTTAAATAAAAACATTATTTTTTGAACAATATTACTTGATATTTTCGAACGAAGTATTTCACAAAATATCCATTACAATGAAAAACAAAAGTACATCAAAACAATTTACTCCGGTTGAGAGCCTCGCTTCTGTTTGCGGGTCGTCATCGTTGAGTAGGTGGTAATGTACGTACATACAGTAAATAATATATTTATTAGAATCTGTTAAAAGTAGGTCACTTATCAGAGTTATAGAATTTTACTTAAAAGTACAAACTATCGTGGTACTAGAAGCTGAAGATCTTCGTTATTGATAAAATGGATTTTCGCTCGTTTCACTCTTGTCTATTTACAAAAGTAATTTGGCGTTAAACGGTAAAAATTTGTAATTCAACAATACTTCCCAAGTGATGATAGACTATGACTGATGCCTTACGGTCTATTGTGTTATCGGATTGGTCGTCCAAAATTGGTAATATTATAATTGTAGTCTCAGTGCAATTTTTAAAAATGTTTAAAAAGGTTACAATACCGTACCTTATAGTATCGAACATGGTGACCAGCGACAGGAGGGTGGTGACCAGCAACACCATGCGGCCGGGCACTACTTCGGGCATGACCACGAAACTTCCCCAGGACATGATGACGAACAAAGTGCTGGGCAAGTAACTCTCCAGCAAATGGCTGCGGAGTTCTCGACTCAGAGTGATCACCAACCTGGCCGTAGAATGGTTTCCTGTAAAATAGAGTAAAGTGTGTATTTTTTTTTTTTGCCCCGTATTGGATCCTGGATATTCCCATCAGGGCTAAGCGGCAGAGACAAAACAAAAGTTTAATTTAACGAAAAGTGGTCCGTCCAAAAATAAATATGCTCGTCTAAGTTATTATATTTATCGTCGGACTGAAAAACTTTTAAACGTTGAAGCTTACTCCCCGTGTGGGACCACAGCAGTGCGACATTAATTTTCATCAAACGGCTTTTAATTTCCCCTCCCCTTTATTAAAAATACTTTTTGCAATAAAAAGTCATCGGCCTTTTTTGCAATTAGGAGTCACTAAAAAGAAAAGGTTGTCTAATCCTTATATTTTTTTTAAAACAAACATTTATACAAAATATTTACTTACAGTTATATTAACTGATATACACATTTTTTGTACATATCTTCTTATATAAATGTAGTTATATCTACTTGCTTCCATCACCTTAGCTCCAAACAGAGTAAGTCGACACCTTAACGCACTGTGACACTTAAAAAGTTGCGTAATTAATTCGTACTGTGAATAATAACAACTTGTTTTTTAACACTGACAGTTTATTGAAATATTTTGCGGATTTCTGTTAGGCAGATTACGTGAAGAGAAGAGTACACAGTAGTGTATTATTTACCAAAAAATTGATTGTTTTAAACAGCTTTGTAATAATTGAGATTTGTTGTTTGGTCAATAAAGCGCAGAAATAAATGTTATCACTTAAAATATGGTAATGAACAAAACATGGCGAGAGGGTTAATTTTTCACAAATTAATTTACCAATCTCTAAATAAAATTGTTGATTATAGCTGGTAATCACAACACACGTTTCTTTTTAATAAATTGTAAAACTAATGGAATAAACAAAAAAGGCATATTTATAATTTAATCTCACACATTTACACAATTTTAACATAAAATCTTTTTTAAACAAAATTTATGTAAAAAAAAATACGATAATTTTTTTTAAAGTCTAAATATTCTAAATCGCAATTAATGCACGGCTGAGTGATTACGGAATGCCAAAATGCACCTGCGAGGTCCGCACTTGTGTTTGGGCCTGTCCAAAAATTGTTTACAGAGAGTAGCGTTACATGACTTTTATGAAATATTATTTTTTCTAGTTTCAAATGTTTGTAAGGATGTTTTGTAAAGAAAACGGCGATTGTATGACAAGTCACTGACATCTGTGACATATTTACATTCAGTTATAACAAAAATATATGATTAGTCCATCGCATTGCTCAGTTCAGTTATGTATCATTATATTGCAATATTGTTGGTTGATTTGATTTATAACAACAATTCATAACACCAATGTTTTCTTATTATAATTTGGTTTCTTTCTTAAGAATAATAAATTCAACATTTGTTTTAAGTTTGCTTACTAAATGAACTAAATGAATTTTAGAATTAAACTACTTTTACCGTTCTTCTTTCTAACCCACATGTTTTGAAGTGTTTCAATTAATTTTGCACACTAAACGAAAATCTTTAGTTTACACACATTTTTAAGAGGAAGTGAAAGAACATTGGTGGTCTTATCTTTTTTTTGCAATGTGTACTTTTGGGGTTTAACGCGCAGTGAATGTCTCGTCGTAACAATTATTCTCGGTTTGCAAACAAAATGTTATTATACTATACTACTCGAACCAAACCATGCAAATTAGATTAGACTTTAATCATTGCACATTCAGAGTACAAAGTAAAGCCAGTGTTTGTTTAACTTTATTCGTCTGGCGTAGAGAGTGTCTATTAATACATAACAATATGGTGATGTTCCCCTCCAGCAGACGTTCAACCACCGAAACGAAACCGATGCCTTCGAGAAAGAGTTGTAAGATTTTAGTCCACTTGGGGTGTTTAAGTATTCTCAAGCAATCAACTGCTGAATATTAACCGCCAGGGCTTTTGAAAGTTCGAGGAGCTTTCGAGGAGACTGTATCGAGTTTTTTTTAATTCGTCGGAAAAATTTTCACCCGAATCCGGTTGGAAAATAAAAAAAAATATAAATAGTAATAACTGTTCATACAGGCGCAGTTTTCTAAAAATAAACGGTGACTATTAAAAAAAAAAAAAAATGGTTTTTATCCTGAACGTTTGACGGCCATCTTTTTGGATCGGACCATCAGTCCAGAAACACATCTCGGCCCCTCTATTCATTAATGGAAATGTTATCTTTTTTTTTAGACGTGCACCGGGTAAAGGTCGGCTTTTGATTTCGGTTAATTTATCAGAACTTCCGGGCGCGCGCACCGCATCTTGGCACCAAAGTCTCAGGTAATATCCGCGTTGATATTAACAGATTTCTCCGAACTCACCGTCTCCGTAATAAATCACATTGAAGCGGTTGTCAGTGACAAACGACACGACGTAACGAGGCAATCGGAATCCGTCGCCAAAGTCGCTGGGAAAGCTTAGAGGATCGTCTCTCCATCGGAATTTCACGTCGGTTAACGTGTATTTGTCTGAGGGAAAAGAAACAAATAATACATATTATTATTATTATTATTATTAAACGGCTTTAACGGTTGTCTCCGCGCCGACTTATCTCCGTTGCCCGTGCCACGAAGTAGCAGCGCATCGCCGGCTAAGTTCGACCTTGTGCACTACCTACATTGTGATCTGAGCATCGAGGAATTATTGAAATAATTTCTAATAATTATTCTCTCATACGTCATCGTAACGCTTTTCGATCGTAAACTTTTTACCAGTTTAGCTTATCCCCAAAACACCAGGTTCCAGCAGGTTAAACAATTGTAGGAGGCACGATGAATGGTATAACTAGCTTGAAAGAACCAATAGAGTCAGCGTATCAAACCCATGTTTTATTTCTCAAGTCACGGATAAACAGAAGTCAGTGTAGTATTTAAGTATTTGATTTTTAAATTTAGAATCGGTTCAACGAATTTATAAAGGCGATAAATAAGACCGAGAAGAACAATTAAATTAATAAGTAGGAATTTTCGGGAATTTTTTACTGTACATACACAATTGTTAAAAAAGGTATTTTATTTCAATTCAACGTTCTTTACAATTCTGCAGTAAGGCCTTTGTTTTTCAGAAGCCACGATATTATAATTTCTTATTACAGCCAGTAGTATAGATACATTCATACACAAAATAAGAGACCGCAAAACCTAATCGATCCGTACTCGCAATATTCATTTTTGTATTTCTGTATAATAATATTATACTCACAGCTGCCAAAGTCAACGAGGCACGTTTGCACGTCCAACGGGTATAGGACAAAATCCATGTCACACTTGATGATTACCGTTGCCCTGTAACGTTTTTTTTAAACCCTTAATGGCATATGGCTTTTTCAAGGGTTCAAAATAAAATTATATAAATTATATTTATAAGAAGATTTAAAACCTTTCCGTTCACACTATGTGTCGATTCCGTTGTGCTGTTTTTTTTTATGTGTGTAACATTTATTTTAAAATACAACCCTACCCAATGCTGATTCTCAGTGTGCTGTTGCTGTACAATCGGATAGAAGCTATGTCCTGGAACAGCGTTAACACTTTCATTTCCCGCAACTGGCGAATATAAAGGTCGGGTATCCAGAATTTCGGCTCTTTGTCCCAAGTGAGTTCCACTTGACTGGAATTGTCCACTATGCGCATCCGCGTGTCCTCCCAGTAGACGTACAGGAAAACATCCAGAGCTATTTCCTATATTACAACAAAAACAACCAACGAGAATTATATCTCCAACAAAAACCCCAACGCAATAGGGGATGATATCACCTCTTTGCTTTCGTCCACTCCGGATATCCGGTTCACGTGTAACGATATGGATACATCAACGTTTTTACCTTGGAAACAAAAACACAAAAAATAGAAGTGAGCAAGATAGGTCATTTTTAAATTCCTATAACAAAGAACTGCAATGCAGGTGGAAAAAATTATGACTAAGAGTTTAGCTTGAGAAGCAAGCAACTAATGAGCTTTAATATTTGACTCCATTTTTTAATCATTATTTCTTTAATGTTTGTCGTCAATTTCTGAATACCACTCTGTAGAAAACTAATGAACAGTACACATTGAGAGTACTATACATTTATAGTTTTGCTCTTCTTTATGATGTTATAATACTCACTTATACTCGTGTGATTTCCATGACTACATTTGGCTAATCAGTGTTGGTAGACTGAAAATCAAAGACTGGATTGAAGAACTGGAGTGGTCTACTAGTTATGTAACGAGTACTCTAATTGTTTTATTTACACATTCAATCTGTGTCTGCGTTGGAAAAAATGATGTAGGTGCACTATACAGTGTAAACGGTTAACCAATATAGCCAAATAAACAATAAGTGTTCGGTATAATTTTGCCAAATACCTAATATAAGTACAGTAAGCTAAATAGACTGAGTGTGTGTATAAATAGATGCGTTTGATCGAATCTGTCAACATTTTTACATTTTAAATATCTATAATATTTTAGGCTAATGACAAAGTGGTGTTAGAAAAAAAAGCTGGAAATCGTCATTATTAGTAAAATATAGATTAAAGTATATGTTAATCAAACACCGGAAAATAAGTGAATAAAGTGTTGTTGTTTAGTTAAGTTTAATTAAGAAAAGTATGTCGATGAAGTCATTCATTAATATATTATTATTTAAAAATGTTATATCGTTGGCGAATCGTTTGCAAAAACGTGTACTTTTAAAACTAATTTTGGTAAAATAGTATAATTTTTTTCCTAATTGGTTTATAGTTCTCATTACGTTTATAGTCCCCAATATTAATTCAGAATTTCATAGTATCAATATTAGTATATATTAGGTTATCATTGAAAAATAAACAATGGATACTATTTCTTCCTTGACGTCATTAAAAACAAGTATTTCAATTGAACACTTACCTTACCTCACCTTAGCTAGTTTTCAAAATAATATAGAAAAGTATCGGCTCATAAATTATTAATAGCGTATCATTACGAGTGTCACCGTCATAGATAAAATAGATTTCCCATAGTTTTCTGGTGATGAGTCAAACAATCACTTCTTAAGTATAAACCGTAAATAATAACTACGTTCACTAAAATATAGTATACTTTAGTGTTGACGGGCGCATTGTATATGTAAAATAGGTACACGGATGTGCGTAAAATATTATTTTGCCTACACACCGATAACGGCAAGTAGATATAAATCATTGTATGTCTAACGTTGAAATATAAAATACTCGGCTCTATCGTTTCGGTAAGCTCGTGATAATAACTGTACATTCGGCATTGCGTTTATTGTTTGAAGACCGTGTTAACACACAGCTGAAGTTTTTCTTGTTAAAAAAACGTCACTTAAGAGGACGGCTACCCAGGCCATTTCTAAGGAGTAAAATATAGGCAACTTTTTGAAAAATCTTAAATCAGAGTTTGAATTATAATGTATACCTATTAATACAGTACATTTTTCCCATCAAAACTGCTTTGCGGGGAACAAGTATGTGAGGCCAGTATTAACGGTAAATTTACCAAATTAATCCAAAGTATAGAGAAGAACTTTATCCACGGGGTAGCGTTTTAATTTTTTCGATATCTATACTTAATATTTTTTTATAAGACAAATTAAAAATTAAAATAGGAAAAAATAATGAATAATTACGAATGAATAATTTTGATTGTGCTTAAGTTATCGAAAAACTAAAAACGCTACCCCGTAGGTAAAGTTCTTCTCTATCCATTGTAAAAATTGTATACGGCTACTCTTAATACCGCCCTCACATTCTTGCCCCCCACAAAACCTATTAAGATTTTGTTATTTTCAAAAAAAATAGCAGTAATTTATGTAAACTATTAAAATGTAACAACTTAAATTACAAATTTTCGATTTTTTTTTTATACTAAATTTATATAGTATATTTTATAGTAAATTTATATACTTAATTTATAATTAATAAATTAAGAAAATATATATTTAACAGTATTGATAACAATGTATTTGGTTGTAATTAGATAGTCACTTAATTGCTTTGATGTACTCACAGTTTTTTTTTCAAAGGTTTTAGCACCACTGTAACTTTTTATGGTAGTGCTCGAATGCCCATTATTTGGATCATCACTATTAATAATTATTAGTAGTAGGTATTTCTATAAAAAGAAAGACGGTGTATACAGAAGACACCAATACAATACAATTGATTATCTTCGACAAAGTTTAAAACAAAAACTGTCTTTCTTCGGTATTGTAGTTATTGAAACTTACACAGTCTTGAAAAGTACGGGTATTCATTGTCTAAATACCATTACCATTGATAAAACTGATACACTTTTGAATAGGGATAAATCTTGTCTATATTTTCATATAAATTAAATAAGTAAGTATAGATTTTTATAGCAATGCGTCATGAAATTCATTAAATAGACTATTATAACTTTGAAATTCGTAAAACAATAATAATTACAATAAAAATATAAAGTGACAAACAAAATAGCATTGTTTTACACATTTTTGCAAACTCTTCGACAAAGTTTTATAACTAATCTGGTTTTATGTGTTGAGTATCTGTTTTGGAAAAAATCTCATTATATATTTCCCGTTGTCTTTAAGTAATGTAATTTATATTTTGTATTTCAACGACCTACTGTTTTCAAATGATAATTTTATAAAGGCGCATTTTTTCGCACTTTATTGGATACCATTAAACTTCTGCAAATGAAGTGAAATAAAAGATTATTTATTATATTCTGCACAGCGGGTGTAGAACTCGAAATATTTTTAACTGCTTTTAACAACGTCAACAGTACTCGACTGTTTTTTTTTATTCATTCTTTACAATATAATGATGTAAATAAATTCCAAACGTTTCCAAATCTAACACCTTATTTGCACTATTAAAACAAAATTATCGTTAGACTTTTATTTTTTGCTCAACTCATAAATATTTACTCTAACACTCTAAGAATAAAAACGAATTTCGAGAGCTAACTTATTCCGCAAAGCAAATTAGGTACAGTGTTTAGCATTTATTGATCGTTTTAAAATAATCCAAGTAGTCATATTGAAGATGAGGTTTTTCTGAAATGTTTTACTGCTAACTAACCAGGTTGAACTATCACTTTGAGCATACAAAGGCTTCTCTGTTTCTGGTTTGTATTCGATGGAACGCCTACTGCAATAATAAACGTTTTAACTAGGGCATAAAATATATTATACCAGTTACTGGTAAATAGGCTTCAGTTAATTATACATGTATTTAGAAAAATATATTAACATATAATTTTATTATAAAATCTTTAAAGGTAACTTGCGAGAAGGAGGGTTATTAAAAATGTAATGTGTAAAATTTCGATTAGCCATTTAAAGTTGTCATTCGTTGAAAGGTAATCCATTATACAGACCGTCATTCTTAAAACCCTAATAATGTCAAGTTACATTTAAATATAATGTAGGTACAAGTCACATGTATTATATTCTAATAATATTAACGAAAAATCCTTCCGCTTATAAAATATTAATGCTAATCATTTTTGAAAGTTTCGTACCATAAGTGATGATATTTTCCTTCAAGTGTTATATATCAGCAAAACGTAAGAGAGGAGTGTCGTCGTGCCACATTGATTTTATCGAGACGACCACTCCCTTCGCTCTTCCCTGTAGACATTTTTAAATACTAATTAGAACTTAAAAAGTAATTACTCCAAAATAATGTAACAGTAAATATTTAATATAAAATCATTTTTTTGCGGCTAAGTGAAACGTAAGTTATTTATGAAAAGAAGAGGAATTAGTACAGAAGATACCTGAGGTCACCGGAAGTCGCCATTCACCCATTCGACTTCACCCCAAAGATACCCTTACTTTTTCCGTTTTATCGATGGACATATGAATTGCACAGGTGAAAACACAAAAAACATACGGTATATGATATTGGATAGACTCGATATAAGTTGTTAAATAAATTTAAACTCTAATAACTTTAAAAGTGATCGTTTATAATTGGTTATTAATTAGTCAAGTTTTTGTGACCACTAAAATATAATAATATATAATATATCTACGTAAATTAATCACAATAATATTAAACTACACGAGTTGAATCAGTTAAATTTACATGCAAGAAACTACAATAATTAAACTACATGAGTTTTTTTTTAAAACTTAAACACATATTTTTTTTTAACCTCAAAAAAGTAGTTATTAAATAAAGTTATTTACGAATTGGGATTTTCTTATTGTCAGTTTCTAATTCTTCCAAACGTATGTAACGTTAATAGTTCTAAAAAATAATTCAGGTATTCTACTAATCAATAATATAGAAAATTATTGAAAAAAAAACTTAAATTTTTAGCTTACCTATTTAAGAGTTGTTGCAACATGTAACGGTTTGTGAGACAACTCGAATATTATAATTTGTAAAAATAAAACAATAAAACCTCAAACAAATATTTAGAAAATAAGATTATTTCGAAATTCTTACGTGGAATTTCTAACTGTCAGTTTCCATTTCTTTCAGACGTTTGTAATGATAGGACTCTTTGAGACTTATCAACGAGTTGATCACACCGAAATCGATGCTTCTAGTAATTTTCTGGATGAACTCCACATATATATCAACGATCATTTGTATGACAGTGGGCAAAAACAAGTAATCTAAACGGTCTAAATTTTTAAAATCATCATTGACCTCTCTTATAATGCTAGCTAACCATTTTCTTGCAAAATTTTACAAAACTGATACGATATTATTTTTTACTGAGTTGTTTTTTTTATTCCTACTCGTATGGTTGTACTGCTGTATTTGTTTAATTTGTATACTATTGCCGTTTTGATCAGTTGGCTCATAAATCCTAAATAATAGTATTATATTTT